GGGCTTCCCCCCGTACAGGTGGCCAAGGGGGGCCAACATCATATATCATCATCCCAGCAGCCCCCTCTGAAGGGACACGCGTCACCCCCCCCCCTGCAGCCCCCTCGCAGCCCGGCCCCCAGCGTCACAGCTTGCTGCCCGTCGTCGCTCGGCCGGCTTGATGCGCCGCCTGGACAACCCGACGCCCCAACTGACCAACCAACTGACCGGCTGCCCCACGCAAACGTTCTGAACCCCAGGGGCGGCCTCATCTTCTGGGCGGACCTGGTGGGGGCCAAGGCCATATGCGCCAAGCTGGATGCGCTCGCGGACAAGTGAGACGCGCGCACACGCACACACAGCACACGCGCCCTCCTTGTGGTCACAGCCCCCCTTCTTTCTAGCTCACTGCAGCTGCTGGTTCGAAGCGGGCCTTCAGAGTTGTTCCAGCTCACGTATTGCGGTCGTCGCAGGCAAAACCCATGGGTCGCTGCAAGCGGCGCTGACGCCCACGCCCTGCTTGAGCAGGCCAGGCCAGCTGCTGCGACGCCCCACGCCCCGGCCCACCCCTCTCTCTCCCCCTGCGCCGCCGCCCCACCCCATTCATCGTCTGCGTCCCCAGGTTTGATGCGGCCGGCTGCGGCGGGTTCTTCCGGCCGTGCGAGTACCTGCGGCAGGCCGCGCAGACGGGCCGCAAGCTCGGGGCGGGCGTCACCCAGTCGCGCCTGTGAGGGGGCGCTGACGGCGGCGCACGGCGCCTGCCGGGAGCGTTGGAGGCGGCGCCTCTTCTGGGCGTGCGCCTCTTGGCACGCCGTGGCCGCGGGGGGCGCGGCAGCGGCGCGATGGCCTTCGCCCGTATCGCTTGGCCGTCACCCCGGCGCCTCCGGTCACGCCGTGCGTGACTCAAAGCAGGGACCCCCATCTCACCTGATCCTTCAACTCCAGATCACCTCAGAGATCTCTGTCTCATGCGCGCAGCAGAGGGTCTGTTCCAGTTACAGTCGCCCTCCCTTTTGACGGCAGCCGTGCCGTTTTGGTAGAGTCTTCCGCGGCATCAACAAAACGCGCCGGCGCGCGCTCCTCCCTCTCCGCCTGCGCTTCCCCCTCGAATGCACCCCATTGTCTTTCGCGGGGGCCGCGGCATCCTGAGGGTGCGGCGCACAGGGTCCGGGCGCTGCAGGCGCAATATTTTGCATGGCGCAGACCGCGCCCGCCAGATTCCCTCTTCATATAGCGCAGCGCCTGCGGGGTCTGCCCCGCCCGAGCGGCGCGCCTCGGACGCGGCGCGGCGCCACACGGCGCGCGCGGTCGGAAGTGTCTCTTTTCGGCTTCCGACAGCCCCAATGGTTTGAGACGCCCCCGCCGCCCCTTCGAGCCGGGCGTGGTGGCGCCGCGTCTGCAGCGCCGCGAGGCGGGCGGTACGCCCCTGCAGGCCCCGCTCCTTGTGTTGACCAGACCCCCCTTTTGTCCAGACGGCAATGCTCACGGTTTGCTTTGTATGTAACTCCAGCACGCAGCACAGCGGTGACACGTGGCGAGTGGAGGGAGGCGCACGGGCGGCTGGTGTGCGGCTGCCGGCGGATCCGGTGGAACCCACCGCAGAAACCTCCTGGACGGCGCATGTGGGCAGTTAGCGCAGACTCGAGGCTGCGATGGAGAGGGGAAACAGGTGCGCAGTGGTCAAGGCGTCCAGCAGGTCTGCAGGGTCTTGCGGTTGCCACGGCCTCGCCTGGGGCGCATGGGAGTGCGCAGCGGCGGCCGTGCGGCGGGGCAGCTGTGGCCTGGGTGACGCGCTGGGCTTCATCGCCGCGGCAGCCGGCAGATGAGGGGCTTGGGCTCATTTGGTTCTTTGGGCGTGCAGGGAAGCCGGGGCGAGGGTTTCGGTTGAGCAGATGGGCACCCTGTGTGGTGCTGCACGCGGCCAGGGCCCCATGGTTTACGGTCCACTGCACCATGCAGATAAGTCGGTCTGGATGTGAAGATATCATACGAGGGCAGCAGGGGCCATCGCAAGGCAGGCGGTACCTGCTCCCTACTCAAGAGGTCACCCTGACATGAGCCGGCCGAGAGGGTCAACACGGCAAAAAACAGGACACCGTGCCATCAACAAGTTTGCTCGCTGCGCACACATCACTTGATTTACATGTGTTTTTGGTGAACTTCGAGCATCCCACTACACACGAACAGCATGTTGAGCCGGCAAGGCCTTGCGACGCGGGGTGGAACCACCTTCGCCCATAGCAGGGCACAGTATTTATTTAATATTCGTTCTTCTGCTTCGTCGTACCACCGGTCAGCGCTGTCGAAGCGTCAGATCGCCGCGGCCGCAGCTGATGGCGCCCCCAGCACCAGCGGAAGAGATGGCATTCACGAAGACCGCATGGGTCTTGAGGGGTTTCTTGAACGCGTGCGGGAGCGCAGGACTGAAGGTGGGCGGTGATGCCCCATGCAATAGGGCACTGGGGCCAGGTCCGTACCTGGCGCGCTGCTCGCTACCTAGGGGTCGCGCATGTCGTCCAGGACATTTATAATGTCAAACACGCTTATGCGGCGGCGACTTGGCGCCGGGCGCCGCTGCCGCAGCGACCGGCTGCGCCGCAGGGCGTGCTGCGCCGCGCGCTGTGGGTCGCTTGGCCACGCATGAGCCTACCCTGGCTTCTCCGCTTTACTCCCGCGCCCGCACCTGCTCTCTCCCACCCGTTCCTCAGCCGGCGCGCCCGCCACGGGCCCCAGCCCCGGCCCCGTATTCCTCATCGGCACGGGCCCGGGCGACCCCGGCCTGCTGACGCTGCGCGCGGTGCAGCTGATGCAGAGCGCCGACGTGGTGCTGTACGACCGCCTCGTGTCTGACGACATCCTGAGGCTCGTGCACAGCGGCGCGCGCATGGTGTACGTTGGAAAGCAGGTGACCGGGGCCCCGCAGACGCATCGCTGCGGGCTCCCCTCGCACGCTGTCTGCCGAATCGAACTCACGCACTCGCGCACGCCGTCGCGCTTGCCGCGTCTCACCCCCTAGCGCGGCCCTGGCCCCTCACCACCCGTTTCGCTCCGACCATTACCGAAACAGGCGGGGTACCACACCAGGACTCAGGACGAAATCCACGAGCTGCTGCTGGAATTCGCAGAGGCGGGCGCCACGGTGGTGCGCCTGAAGGGGGGCGACCCCTACGTCTTCGGCCGGTGAGCCGCGCCGCCCTGTGCTTTCCTTGGACTCTCGAATGTCTTCCTTTACGATCTGATGAGGCCTGACCGTGTGGATGTGTTTGCATGTCGCTGGAGTGGCCTGGGCATGCTGTATCTGGACGTGAACAACCATCGTTGGCATGGACCTCAGGGGGCTCGCCCGACCTCCTACGCTGCACCCACCTGCATCACTCCTCCCCATACATACACACACACACACACACACACACACACAAGCTCTTGCACACATACAAACTCCGTCTCCCCCTCCCATACCCACCACCTCAGCGGCGGCGAGGAGGTGCAGTACCTCGCATCCCGGGGCATCCGCGTCCTGGCCGTCCCCGGCATCACCGCCGCCGCCGGCATATGCGCCGAGCTCGGCATCCCCATGACGCACCGCGGCGTCGCGACCGCGGTGCGCTTCCTCACCGGCCACTCGCGCGAGGGCGCGGAGGCGGAGGCGTCGCTGGCCGAGGCGGTCGCGGCGGCGGCGGACCCGCACACGACGCTCGTCGTGTACATGGGGCTGGGGACGCTGCCGAAGCTGGTGGAGCAGCTGGGAGCGCACGGGCTGCCGCTCGGCACGCCGGCGGTGGCGGTGGAGCGGGGGACTACGGCGGAGCAGCGGGTGGCATTTGCCGAGCTCGGGGGGCTCATGGACGCGACCGCGGCGCACGCGCTGCGCAGCCCGACGCTGATTATTATCGGGAAGGTGGTCGCGCTGGCGCCTGGGTGGGGCGAGTGGGAGGCGGCGGGGCGGCCACGGGAGCTGGCGGCGGCGGCGTGGAGCGCGCGCGCGGCGCTGCCGGACGCGGCGGCGGCCGTGCTGGGGCGGGCGAGCGCGGCTGCGGAGGAGGGGGAGGGCCGGCGGCGCGGGGGGCGGCGGGAGGCGGCCCGCGAGGGTGAGGGCGCCGCGGCGGGCGCCGCGTGACGCGTCGGCCGTTGCACGCTGGTTGTTTGGCGATTGCGCCTTGCAAAAAGGGTTCGGCTGGTTACGCGAAGTTGTATTGCCCTTTGCGCGGGGCGCGTTGATGCAAGCACATGCACTCACTTCTTTGTCCCGTACGCCGGAAGCCTCATCAGCGCGACCGCTTTACGCGCTGCAAGGCTCCAATCGGGACCGCTTCATCTGACTTCTTTTGGCGTGTTCTATACTGTGGTACGCTGCCGTCTCGATTGCCACAAGCATGCCTGTGATCGGACTGTTGACATGCACAACGCGGGCGGCGTTCTTCGCGCCCTGTTCGCCACGCGCGCGCTGCGCATTGCGTGCCATGTACCCTACTACTGTGCCACAGTAGAGTAATTCTGTGTTTTACCTCTGCCACTGGGGAGGAGCGTCGGGGGTTGCAGCATGTGGGCATGCAGCACATGGGCTAGCAATGGCAGCTTGATCCCCGCTGGCGCAACGCGCTGGCAACTGTCAAAACAGAGGCCACGTTGCGCGCCCGCCGAAGCAAGGAGTTGGTGCCGAAGAACGGTGGCTTTGGCGGCGTCCTGAAGCGATGGCGCGGTGCGGCACGGTGCGGCTGCTGCTGTTGTGTGTGCAGTGGTGCGCGAGCGGCTCGGCCTCACAGAGCTATGCGTGTTGGGCAAAAGCGAGGTGTCTGGACCGGCTGCTTGGTCCCTCTCCTTGTACGGGCCTCTCTTCCTATGCTGCAGTGCAGACCGTCAGGTGAGGGCAACCTGCCCTCGCCCTGGGGACCCCACGGTGGCCACCCTCCAAGCCCTGTGGTCGGGTGCGCGATTGTGCTGTTTGGGGCTGCCTGCCGCAACCCCCTGAGGATGTTCAGGTCAAACCGTGACACCTGCGACACGAACGCTCACAGCAGCCAGTTAGGGGGCTGCTGAGGCCGCTGCGCCTCTCCACAGTAGGCCTGAGGTGCTCTGAACCGCGCTGCGGGGCCCTTCTCGAGGTGACTCTCGCAGCGCCTGGATCTGAGGCCCCCTTGGTGCAGCGCAATCCTGCTGACAAACAGCTCTGCTGTGTGACCACAGGCGGTGTCCACCTGCCAGCAGAGGGGCACCTGTATGCCATGCGCCCGTCGTGGCACCTTGACTGTATCAAAATATCGCACATTGGCATTTCCGGAGTCTCCATCACACGCACTTGCGCACACGCACGCGCGCCAACAAACACGCACACGTACACACACATGATGTGCCATTGAAGGTGTTTAATGTCTCCACGCCGTCCAAGTTGCGTATGTCATCAGGGTTCATCGACCTTGAGCACGTGCACGACATGTGGTTGATTGGCGGCCGCTGGGGCAGGGCGTCACATAGCTACTCATACTCCGCAGGAGACCCTCCTGTGTTGATAGTCCGCCCAGAGATGTTGATAGTCCGCCACGCGTGCAGCGCTCGTTCCAGAAGGTCATGTGCCAAATTATTTGAGTGGTGTTGCATGATCATCACCACTGTTTGACTGGCAGGGCAGCGGATTTGCATCGGCGCCAGCAGCTTGCGGGTAGGGGTGCAGCTCGCGGCGGTGTTGGACTCAGGTTTTCGCCCCAGAGCATGCAACTACAGGCAACCAAGGTCGCTTTCAGGCTCAGTGCACCCCAAAATGCGCTTGGCGTAGCGCGGCATGGGTTTGGAAGGCCATGCCATGCGCTCATGGCGTCACACTGCCAGCTCCAGCGGCGGCGACCTGGCGGGTCGAGTGACAAGGGCCCCGCGCAACGATGGCGCCCTTGCATGGGCCACGAAACTTGACGCGAATGGCATAATTATTTTACATCGCATAGGATTACGCCGCGCGCTGGTCGACAGTTGCCGGAGTCTCACACACTCGTCAGTGATCTCGGTCCGCGCATATAATCATGTTCAGCCTGCGATTCAGCGGCGCTTTCAACTGGGGCTTGCCTAAGCGCCCAAGCCAGCAGCGCAAGCAGCCGCGCCGCGTCCGCGCCACTGGGTCGGACAGCGCCCCAGCCAGCACGCTCTCGTCGCGTGTCGGGGTGCGTGCGCCACACCGCGCCGCGCGGGCCTCATTGGCGCCTTTCGTGACTCCTCATCTGCGCCTGTCATGACATTGCACTGCCACACACACGCGTGCTCACGAACCCAATGCCTCCTCCGGCCCACGACCCAACGCCTAGCTTGTGAATGCGCCCCTCATCCCTGACGCGCCCTCCCGCGCTGCCGCCGCCGCCGCCGCCATCACGCCCATGCACGCGTGCAGGGCTTCGGCGGTCTTGCGCAAGCCGGCCTGGTGGCGGGCGCCGTGGCCGGCGCGGGCAGCTTGGGGGCGCAGTTCGTCGCCGCCAAGCAGGCGGAGGTGGGCCTGACTGCCCCTGTCAAATTCAAACTGTTCCTGTGCACAGCTGCAGGGGGCGGAGCATGGGGGCATGGGGGCCGACCTCCGACTTGCAAGGGGAGGGCAGCAGGGCTGCACGACCGCGAATGCAGGCGGCACGTTCAGGAGCACAACTTAGCAGTGACACAGACTAGCATGGGGCGAGCGGGATTATGCGAGCAGCCTCGCCTGGCAGGCGCGTCCCAGCCGCAGGGCGCCTTTTGGGGCCGCGTGGGGCGATACCAGCCGAGGCAAAGGCGCCGTGCCTCTGGCTCTCTCGGCGCCCGCAGGGCCGTGGCGCTGCCGCCCCTGAGTACGACTTTGTGCGCGTGCTGCGCATCGCGGGGTTTGGCGCGCTGCTGTACGGCCCCTACCAGGTGGGGCGCGCATGGGCATTCGCGACGGTGTGGCACGGGCGCGGGCAGCATGAGTGGCTTGGGGGGGAGGATCCTGGGCGCATGCAACCGCTCGCTACACCCGCATTCAACCGGCATGGCCCCCCCACGTGTGCTGCGCGCAGCACGCCCTCTTCAGCGTTCTTGAGTGGGGCCTGCCGGCCCAGTCCATCGCCAACGTCCTTGCAAAGGTTTGAAGCCCCTGGCTGGGTTGTTTCAGGAAGGGGTGGTGTGTCAATGAGGGGGTTTGGCTCCATGCCGCTGTGGCGCTTCGGCCGAGGCGGCGCTCTGACTGCCACGCCGGCTTGCTAGCAGCGGAGTCCCGCCAGGAAGCGCACGGCAGATAGGGAGGGGCAGCGCATGCACTTTGGCGCTTTGCACCCTGCAGTTGCACCATGCGACCCGGCCATCCCGACCTGGCGCCGCCTGCCTGCAGCGCACCATGGATTCCTGCTGCATGCGTGCATGCGCCCGGCCGGCGCCGCGCTTCGAGCTCAGACGTGATACTGGGGCTAAACCCGCACTTCCACCTCAACACTGCGCGCCACAGGTCGCCGTAAGCCAGGTGGCGCTGGCGCCGGCGGTGCTGGCGTTCCTGTACGTGTGGAGCCTGGGGGGCAGCGAGGCCAAGGGGGACGCGACGGCGCTCAGCCAGAGCGTGAAGAACGACCTCGGGCCCAGCACCGTGGACGGTGCGCGCGGCGCCAACCATGGGGTTCCATTGTGGCATGCATGCGCATGAGAGCATGGGCGCTGTGCATGCATGCTGGGTTTCTCATGTGTGGGTGCCGGTGTCAAGTCGGCATCGCCCATGCCGGGGCCCTGGCGGCCGCGAACGCTTGAGGCTTGGCTGTGAGCATCCCTCCCCTCGTGTGTCCCTGCACTGCCCTCCCAACTAAAACCCCCTCCCTGTCCCTCACCCCACCCATCAGGCTGGAAGGTGTGGGTTCCGGCCTTCGGCCTGACCTTCCTCGCAGTGCCCCCCGCAAGCCAGGGTGCGCGTGGCATCTGCCTACCTCGCGCGCCGCAGCGAGCCTCCGTGGCAGCACGCATTGCGTGCCCGGTCCCACCAGCCTGGTCGCCGTCGCGCTCGCAAGCACATGCGGTGGCCAACCTTCAACAAATGCATGCCCATCTGCGTGTGTGCCCGTCCGTACCCTAAAGTCACGACAAAACTTCAGTAATGAGCACAACTGACACACAAATGCACCCCCATATGCACGCCTCGCAGTGCTGTTCACGACCCTGGCCAGTGTCGGCTTCTCTGGATACGAGTCCCACCAGTCCACGGGCGACGCCGCCGCCCGCGCCCCCACGCTCTCCGCCCTCGCCGCCGCCGCCGCCGCCAAGAAGGCCGCCGCCGCGGCCGAGGCGGCGGCGTCCTCGGCGGCGGCGGTGGCGGTGCCCAAGGAGGCGCCAAAGGCAAACAAGAATATCCTCGGGCTCAGCGACAACCAGGTCACAGTTCTCATCACTGTGGCATGGATTGGGGCGTGCGTGGCGCTCAAGAAGGACTGAGGCGCGGCGTCCCGGGGCCGCAGGCACGTGCGGCGTCGCTCCGGGGCGGCGGTGTCGGCGGAAACGGGAGGGAGGCTCTGATTTTGGACTGTTCATTATCGCTTGTGAGCGCGCGAGCGTGCTGTTGCGCACAAATTGTAACGCACGCCTTGACATCGGCACGGTGAACGGCCTGCTTGGGTCAGGACAGCTTCGGGGTCGTGACTAGTCAGCTCACACACGCCTGGCGACAGCGGAGGTCAGCGGGGGCGTTGTGTCAAGGCAGCTGCGGCCAGCCAGGGCGCTGTCAATGTCGCAATCTGTATGGTGTTGCACGATGATTGCCACTTGCTGCCAGTCGTGAGGTGACTCTACTCACTTCAGCCCGGCCAGGTGTTGACCAGCGGCGCACGATCACATTGGCTGGCGCTTGCCCTTGACACAATCATCAGCACCTTCTTGGATTGAAAGTCATTGGAAAATTCCGATCGGCTAGAACTTTGAAACAAGGCTTTGAATCAAGCCATGTACGTGATCGCGCAGATCATTATCAGCCAAGGCTAGCACGTACGACGGCGTAGCATTTAAAACAGGGGATTGAATATTTTAACCTGTGTGAACTTCGTCTCGTGGTCGGCAGAGCAACCCCGCTGCCGCAGCAGCGTCGCAGCGTGGCGCCGCCGCTGTTGCACCCTCAAAGCGGTCGTGGCAGCGATGCGCATCGTCACGTGGAACGTCGCGTCGCTGGTGCGCTTACGCACACAGATCCGTACACATGTGCAGATCCGCCGCGGCACGCCGTGCGGCCCCCTGCGGCGGTCACCCAACCCGTCACCCAGGTCACCTCCGCCCGCCCTTGCCTCCGCCGCAGCCGCCCACCGCCCGCAACGCCGTCCTCGCGCACGGGTCGCTTTCGGCCTTCTTCAAAGATCACCTGGGAGCAGATATCATATGCCTGCAGGAGGTGCGGCGCCGGCCCAAACACAGCGCGGCGCCCCGTCGCCATCCCCCACTTGCGCAACCGCTGTGGCTTTCGAGTGCAGTGGCAGCTGCGCTTTGCGGGCGTGAGGTGTTTTCGCATCCCATCGTGGCGGTGCGGCTTGAGTTGGAGGCAGGGGAGGGTGCTGCTTGGCGGTCAGATGCTCTTTTCGCCCCCAATCATACAACCGTGGGCCCCTGTGCCGCGCCC